TTGCTTTGCTTTGCTTGACTGGTCTTGTGACCCCTTGTTCTCCCCCACTTTGCCTATGGGGGTGTGTCAGAACATTATAGCTCTTGCATATTGTGTAAGCTATAGTGGGGTAGCCCATAAGGGGTACAACCCAATTAGGGTTAGTACTTGTACCCAATTCATTCATAGTTCATTCATTCTCGTTTCAATTCTCTTAACCTAAAAGCCGGAACTGACCGGGTTTGGGTCCCCGCTTATCGACTGCTGCGTGAACTCCTTATCCATGAGGTCCACGATTCTAACCTCTCCTGACTTTTCGGGGTTGATAAAACCCAGAAGCTGTTGCACAGTCAATATTATTGGCCTGATTCTTCTAAAGACGTACAGCAATATGTGTCCTCATGCAGGGTGTGCCAAGCCATGAAATCAACATGTCAGCGGCTAGCTGGATTGTTGTAACCCAAGCCATCCGAACGACCGTGGCAACAGGTGACGATGGATTTCATCATGGGGCTACCAGCTGGGCCATCCGGCAACGACGCTGTTCTCGTCGTCGTCGATCGCCTCACGAAAATGGCGAACTTCGCACCGTGTCGTACAACTATCACATCCGAAGAAACTGCGCGCCTCTTCATCTCGACCGTCGTGCGACTGCACGGAATCCCCGCAGCGATCATCAGCGACAGGGACCCGAAGTTCAGTTCGAAATTGTGGAAGGAGACGTGGGCGTAGTACGGCACGAAGCTACGGTTCTCATCGGCATACCACCTGCAAACGGACGGCCAGACCGAGTGAACCAATCAGACGATGGAGCAGCTGATCGGGACAAACTGCCCCGACCCTGCTCGCTGGGAAAACTCATTTGCCATGCTGGAGTCCGCGCTCAACAACGCCCCGTCCAGCACTACTAATCACTTCTTATCCTTCTTAAATCACGGGATGGACCCGACGGTTCCTACGACGACTACACTCGAGAACCCGGTCCCTTGGTCACAAACATTTGTGACGGAACTGCAGGAAGTTTTTGAGAAGGCTGCGGATGCAATCCGCAAGGCGAATACCACATCCGCAAATACACCGACCTTCTACGACGAGAATTCGTCTTGGCAGCTGGGCAACTAGTTCTACTCGACACGAAAAACCTGCACCTGTCCGGCCAGTCGAAGTTACGGCCACGATTTTGTGGCCCTTTGAAATCACTAAGATGGTGACACTTGTCACCGTGAAGCTGCTGCTACTCGACAACTGGCGTATACATGACGCCTTCCATGTCAGCCTCCTTCGCAAGTTCGTGCATGTCACGACAGATATCGCGCGCCAGAACGCCGCCCCGACGGCCCAACCTGTCCCGGAACCGACACTTGATTCGTCCAAGATTTTGGCGCATCGTGTTCGAATCGACGCTTCTGGACGCCATGTGGATTTTCTAATCCGTTGGACTGACCGCACCAGTGAGGACGACACATGGGTGCCATCCGCTTCGCTTGAAGCTTCTCCGCTTCTTGGTGATTACCTCACCCGCAATCGAGCTGCGGATATTGACCACCTTTCTTAAAATGGGGGGTAGTGTAAGGCAAACCCCTTTTCCTTACAAGGGTTTACTCAACCGCATACAACCCAAACTTTCGGAAGTGCACGTTCGGCTACTTTGCTTACTGCCGAAGCAACCTCGCGTCGCCTTCGGCTTTCCTTTGCCCAACCTGCACCCAACCTCGTGTCCCGGAGGTTCCCGCCTAGCTAGGTTGACCCACTATATTAGCGCGTGCCTTCATTGTATTGTCAGTTCATTGAGTCACATCTTCGTTATTCGTTATTCAGCGCACTCTCCTTTACAACTCATGAAACAGAATATAGTTAAAATGTACTCTTTCAAGGGATTCAACCTCTACTCAACCATTTTGATGTAAACATCGAATCTTGTCTGAAATTCGCGTTGCGACGCTCGCCTCCAGGGCTCTCTTCATCGCGATCCAATCGGAAACCCATCTGGCACAAGCTCGTTCGCTGATTCCTAAGAACGTTGCACGCCGGCAACTAATGTTATTCTTGTTGTCGTCACATCACCAGAAATAACAGCAAGACAAAAAACATAACAAGCCAAAACCTAGAACTGTTGCCGGAAGTCGTGAAAACTGTAGAACAGCAGTGTCCTGAACCCACGACAGCCAAGAGCGAGTCGCGGAATGGCAGTCGCACGGTTCGCGGTTGTCGACAGGGAGACCATCGATGGCGGCGCTCGACGAATGCCATTGGCTGATGTGTTGTGGTCACTGGTCACCTCAGCTCCAGGGCCTTCCTCCTTTCCGCGCGCGGAGAGCGAGGTTCAAAACGATGTCCCCGCTCTAACAAGGTGGAATGTTCCCTTTTGAAAGGTCCGACCTTAGACGCACGGAAGCCATGGCTCGTCTCTCCCTCGCGCTACTACTGCTGCTGCTGGCAGGTAAGGCGTAAGGTTTGGGTAGACACGTGACGGAGGGCACATAGTAGGTTTGGTGCACGTACTACTACGGCATAGCACGGCATAGTACCTGCTTGATTCGGAACGTAGTACAACGGCTAAGCCCTGGCCATCAAGTCCTGCGGAACCCTAGAACTAGGGAATTGCTTATGAACTTGCTGCTCTTGAGCCGCTCAAAAGACATTTTCTTTCGCCAGCGCACTGACTGGGCTTGGGGAGTTTCTTTCTACTGCTTCGTTTTAGGCAAAGGGTTTCGCTGTTCTTGCTGCTCTGCTGTGCCGTGCTGTGCCCTGCGCTGCGCTGGAGCTGTGTTGCGTGCTGCGTTTATCTATTTTTTTGTGCTCCCTTCTGACGGTGCATGGCCCTTCGTTGGACCTTCTGACCACAACGCGTCCCGGGCCTGCACTGGCCGTAAGTGCACTGCCGCATGTCCCTCCGCTCCGTTCCCGTTGACTTATTCAAACCCTTTCACGTCATGTGGCAACGATTGGTAGCAACGCAAGTGCGCTGCTGCCGCATGTCTCTCCCCATTCCCGCTTCGTGTCCGTTTTTGTTTCTTTTCCCCTGTCGCATGGCCTCATGATCTCAAGCATTACATTGCTACATTTCGCTACATGCAGCCACATGTCAGCGTGCAGCCACATGTCAGCGTGCAGCCACAGCAGTGATTGGTGGCAGCAAGGAAGGGTTGGAGTGCAAAGCTCTCAAGTTGAGTCGTCTCAGTGCCTGCCGCCCTTTCTCGTTCCACTCGTTCCATGCAGCATGCGAAAACGATCCTGGTTGGCGGCAAGAAGGGCTGGCCTGGCATCAAGTCTTGGACTCAACCGTTTATCTCTGGCAATGATGTCTTAAGTTCGTGTTACAATGTTACTATGGATGCGTTTACAGCTAGACAAGCAAGCAATGAGGCTTCAGTCAATCTCTTTACATGATCCCTCTCTCTCTCTCTCACCTTCTTTGATTTGGCATTTGGTCTATTCTTTATTCACTTCAAGTAAGCGGCCGTTCACCATCACCATGCTTTCAGAACAAAGGAACAGCACCCTGCTTTGCAGCATGCAACAGAGCACCAAACATGTGATTCTCTCTGCTTCGTTTTCTTGGCGCATGTCTGTCGCCCTTATCTCATCTCTACCTCCCTTCCCCGTCTGCAGTCTTCAAGTGGGGCAGCTCATCAGTCTCTGGCCCCAAGCAAAACGTCGCGCTGGCGACAGATGAGGCAGCCATGCTTGCCTGCAATACCAAGTCCGTCTTTGTAGAGCTTGTCAAGCCCAAGCGCAAGGGCGTATATCGTGTTGCGCTTCAGAGGAGTGCTCACTTTTTCTTCAGCACTGTGGGCAAGGATTGTGCTGCCAAGGGCATGAAGCTGCAGTATTCGGCTGCTTAGTTGTCTTTTGTGTAGTCTGCTTGGGTGCTGCTCACAGGTGCTTCAGCGCTGTGGGGAGGGACTGTGCTGTGAAGGGTATGATGCTGGGGATTGATTGGCTTCTCTTAGTTGCCTCTTATGTCAACTAAAAAGCTCACCTTGTCTTTTGTGTCGACTCAAAAGTCTCTGAATGCGCACACCTGGGGATGCTCACAAGTTCTTCAGCACTGTAGGAAAGGACTGTGCTGTTAATGGCATGCAGCTGGGGGTTGCCTTTTCCTAGTCGTGAGGCATGTGTCTGCAATGTGTGTCATGCAATGCAATGAGTTCATGCTGAGCACCAGGAGCTTAGGAAAGGCTAGGAAGTATAGAATGGAGGAAGAGGGTCTTGCGTGAGGAAGCCTGCACAGGCCTTTGTGATCATTTATGCCATCCCTTGGGCTCTCACAATGCTGGGGCTTGCAGCGCCTTGCTTGGTGTGAGCATTACCTTTGAACCGAAACCTTCGCTACCTAATTTACATCATATACCCTCCTCAGCAGCGCTGCCCTGCTGAGACTTACCGGCACAGACAATGATGGTGTGAAAAGGTGATCCATATTCAGAAAAATAGCTCCCCAGTGCCTTGCAAATTGGGCTTGCATTGCTTACTGTCTGTCAACTCACACAAATCTACCATGTAAGGCAAATCAAGTGCATAAGAAACACAAGTTCTTAACCACTGGCAAGCCAGGACATGCAGCAGGAGTGGAGCAGCAGTCCGGTGCATCCAGTAACAACCAGCCCTGTTGCTGTGTGCCTTGCCCTCCACTTGCACTGCACGCCTGCCCTCCTCCACCCCTGCTCCCTCTTTGGCTATCAGCAGAACAGATCGCACCACATTACCACCAACCTATGGGATGGGATGTGAGGGAGATTTGGCATCTGTGGCATACATGCCCCCGCACCCACACCCCCCTCGCCTGCACCACCCTCGCCTGCACCCCCCTCGCCTGCACCCCCCTCGCCTGCACCCCCCTCGCCTGCACCCCCATTGCTCGCACCACTCTCGACATCTTGCTTGCTCAGCGTCCTTTGACACATCGGCACCCTTCTTCTCGTCAACTCAAAAACCCTGCAAGTGTCCCCCTCTCACTACTCCCCCTCGCCTCTCTTTCCTCCACTCGTTTCTCACTCCCATCGAATTCTTCACTTCCCTCACCCTTGCCGCTGTGCCACCAAGAGCCCTTGAAGGCGCAGCAAGAGCGCTCGCAGGTGGGCGGCAACGTCCGGACCGAGGAACCGGCTGGCGATGGCTTGCAGCTGGGCGGCAAGGATTGGACCCACTAGGCGGTCGATGAACAGTTGCACTTGGGCGGCGATGTCTGGGCCGAGGAGGAGCAGCAGGAGGTCTGAAGCGGAGAGGAGGAGCGCGATGGCGAGCAGGGCGAGGGCTGTGAGTATGAGGCAAGTTACCCAGCCTGGTGGGGGTGGGGAGGGGCGTGTGTGGAGAAGGGGGGGAGGAAGGGGGGGGGGGAGAAGAAGGTCTGAAGCGGAGAGGAGCTGGGCCGAGGGCTGTGAGAATGAGAAGTGCTACCCAGGCTGGTGGGAGGTAGAGAGGGGTTGATGGCAAGAGGGCATGTAGGGACAGGGACAAGGGGTTGGAAAAGTGTGTCCACGTAAATAGATGCAGGGAAAAAAAAAGCGAAGAATAGATGTAGCAGTGAGGGAAAATAGGGGTTGCAGGGACGTTGGCCAATATTATCATTGATCCCCGCCAAGAAGTTTGACTGAGAGTGACTGACAGGTCCCAATGATTCTTGTGAAAGTTGCACCAAGGTTTGGCTTGGAGGGAGATGTGGTGAGCGCGAAAGGGTGGAGGGAGAGGGCAGACGTGCATGAATGCAAGCACCCCAACGGAGAGCCCATCACCCCACCGCACACCACCCCACCGCACATCACCGCACCGCACATCAACCTGCCACACATCACCCCAATGGAGACCCAGCACCGACCTTGGCCGGCGGGCTTGGCAGCAACAGCCGTGACACGCGCACTGGAGTCACCCGACACTGACAGCAATGCCCTGGGGTGGGAAGAGAGGGGGAGAGGAGGAGGTGAGGTGTGTGGGGACGTGGGGGCGTGAGGTGTGGGCATGGGCTGGGCTTGGCAGCGACAGCCGTGACTCGCGCACTGGAATCTCCATTGGGGTGATGTGACACGCGACAGCTGTGACACCACACTGACAGCAGCGCCCTGAGGGGAGGAGGTTGGGGGGGGGGGAGTGTGGGAACGTGGGGGCGTGGGGTGGTGGGGCATGGGGTGGTGGGGCATGGGGTGGTGGGGCATGGGGTGTTGGGGCATGGGGTGTTGGGCATGGGGTGGAGTTGGCACGGACGGCCGTGACATGCGCACTGCAGTCACCAGACACGACACTGACAGCAGCGCCCCGAAGAGAGGGGGGGGCAGGGGGGGGTGGTGTGGGTACGTGGGGTGCTGGGGCATGAAGCGGGCTTGGGCTTGGCTACCACATCCGTAACAGACGCACTGGAGTCATTCGAGAGTGACAGCGGAGGAGGGCGAGTGGTGTGACATAAGCCTCTGATGCCCTGTGTGGTGTGACATAAGCCTCTGATGCCCTGTGTGGTGTGACATAAGCCTCTGATGCCCTGTGTGGTGTGACATAAGCCTCTGATGCCCTGTGTGGTGTGACATAAGCCTCTGATGCCCTGTGTGGTGTGACATAAGCCTCTGATGCCCTGTGTGCACGGATATGGCACAGTGCGTTGGCTCCTACTCGCAATGTGCCCTTGAATGCCTCAACCATCATGTCGTGACTCTTAGTTTGGTTTTGCACCGCATCAACTGTTGAGGCCCACAAAAGTCGCCTCCATCCCCAACGCACCTGGAGTCAGGTGAGAAGTCGAGTGTGGTGACACAGACCAGATGCGCCACACCCTCCCCCCCCCCCCACCCCTCCGTACACAGTCCCCTCATTGCTCGCCTTGCCTCCATTGCCATGTGTCCAGGCGCTAAGGCCCCTTGATTGCAGTGCACTCGCCTCATTCAGCGCACCTGGAGTTGGGCGAGAAGTCGAGCGTCGTGACAAAGACCAGGTGCGCCCCCACCACCCATTCCCCCCCCCCATTCACAGTCCCTCATTGCTCGCCGTACCTCCACTGCCACGTGTCTGCACGTTAGTTCCCACGGCTCCCAATAGCACTCGCCTCATTCAGCGCACCTGGAGTTGGGCGAGAAGTCGAGCGCCGTGACAAAGACCAGGTGCGCCCCCACCACTCTCTGCCTCACACTCAGCGTGCGCGCATCCACTATGAACACATTCCCCTCTGGTGTGCCCCTGTGGATAGACACGCACAGACAGCACATACACAGCACACCCCACACAGACAGGGGCATGAGAGGGGTAGCAGGGAGACGGGACGCGCCCAGACCACTTTCTGCCGCACAGACAGCGTGAGCGCATCCACCTATCAACACGTTGCCCTCTGGTGTGGCCCTGTGGATAGGGAGCGTGCACACAGCACAGACAGGCACGTGAGAGGGAGAGCAGGCAGGCGAGAAAGAGAAGGCGAGGTCCCATCTGTAATCCGCTATAGAGATGTTGCTCTCGGGTGTTCCTCCATGGATACACGCATGCACAATGCGCACATGCGAGAGGCAGAACGGAAGTTCCAGCCTATGTGGCGAGCAGCCTACGCATCAAGCAGGCAAGAAACAGCCAACGTGGGATGGCAGAGATGGGGTTGTTGTGGATCTTCCTCACTGCCATCAGCCTACGTGACAAACAGCCTACGTGACAAACAGCCTACGTGACAAACAGCCTACGTGGCAAGCAGCCTACGTGACAAGCAGCCTACGTGACAAGCAGCCTACGTGACAAGCAGCCTACGTGACAAGCACCCTACGTGACAAGCACCCTACGTGGCAAGCAGCCTACGTGGCAAGCAGCCTACGTGGCAAGCAGCCTACGTGGCAAGCAGCCTACGTGCAAGCAGCCTACGTGACAAGCAGCCTACGTGGCAAGCAGAGAGGAGTCGGGGCTGATAGCAAAGGCGGAGATGGGGTCGTTGTGGATCTTCCTCACTGCCACCCGCTTCCATGCTGCCGTCTCCCACACCACCACCCACCCCTTGCCGCCTGCCACAGGGGGGGAGAAAGGGAGCAGGGGAAAATGTGGTTTGGTGGGATGATGGGACAAGTGAAGAGGAGTATTTTGACCGAACACGGCCAAATGGACGCCAGAGTTACTCACAAGTGAGAAAAGAAAACCACTATCAGCTCTCAAGCCACTCAAAAACCACAGTCAACAGCTACATACAACAAAATCCGCTCCTCTTACCCTCACCCTTCCATCCCTCTCAGCCTTTCCCCCCTCTCTCACCCTTAACGCAGGTGGAGTAGAGCAGCGGCTTGCTGCGGTCCCTCTCAACCACCCCTTCAGCCTCCACTCTTTCCTCACCCTTCACTCGTTCCCCCCTCTCTCTCACCCTTAACGCAGGTGGAGTAGAGCAGCGGCTTGCTGGGGTCGCGGGAGAAACGGCACAGCCCAAAGCGCGCCCCTCCCTGAGGGGCGTGGGGAGGGGGAAAGAGGGGTACGTGAGGGGTGGTGGAAGGGGGAGGAGAATGCAAAGGGAGCAGCACGACAGGACAGGTGCGCTACACCAAGGGAACAGCACGTTGTGTCAAATGCTCTGCCCTGGGGTAGCAGCTGATTCCGCCTGTTTGCAGGGCAAGCACGATACTGTGCAAGCAGTGGTGTGGTGTGGTGTGGTGTGGTGTGGTGTGGGCGGCTGACCAAGCACACGGGAGACCGGGAGTGCTGACCCCAGAAAATAGGGAGCTGACTTCAGCAATACAGAGTGCTGACCTCAGCAATACAGAGTGCTGACATCAGCAATGGAGAGCGCTGACCTCAGCAATGGAGAGCACTGACCTCAGCAATGGAGAGCGCTGACCTCAGCAATGGAGAGGGTGGCAAGTGCTGTCCCCTTGCGCACGCTCCACACCCTCAGAGGGCCCGTGTCTGCCGTGGTGGCCACCAGTGAGCTTTCCAGGCTGGCACAGTGCAGGGGAGAGGGGGGCGTGAGGGGTGTTGGGGGGAAGAGGGGGGGAATGGGGAGAGGGGGAAAGGTCTGCTTGGTCGCCACTAGTGAGCCGTCCAGACTGGCAAGTTGGGGCAAGGCGGGGGTTTGTGAGGGGAGGTGAGGGGAGAGGGCGGGGAGGAGAAGGGGGAGGAGAGGGAAAAAGGGGAAAAAAGGGGGGAGACTAGAAACCCATCTCATGGGTGTTGTACAGCTGCACAGCACCCATGATATGGGTTGCACAGCACCCATGATATGGGCTGCACAGTACCCATGATATGGGCTGCACAGCACCCATGATATGGGTTGCACAGCACCCATGATATGGGCTGCACAGCACCCATGATATGGATTGCAAGGGGACGTATTTGACATGCACATCTCTCAGGGTGGACATGGCAACTTCCATGCTGGGCCATCCCGCATGTCCGCCCACAGCACCATCCCGCATGTCCGCCCACAGCACCTCACATCACACACATACAGGCGCACTTTCTATCCCTTCAGCATGGAACGTACTTAATATCCGCATCTCTGAGGGAGGAGGTGTGGGCACGAGGCACGTCCATCAGCACGTCCATGCTGGGCCACTCAAACACGCGCACACGCCCATCCTCACTCCCCGCCACCACTCTGCACCCATCCGCACTGAACAGCAAACACTTCACCTCCGCTGCCGTCTCCCCTTCCTCCCCTTTCCCCTTTTTCTCCCCTTTCTCCCCCTCATCCTTTCCCCCATTCCCGTTGCCCCCCTCGCCCGCCCCTTCCCCTTCTCCCCCAACTCCCTCCCCTTTTTCCTCCCCCTCCTCCTCCTCCTCCTCCCGTGGTCCCAGCCATTTGAGGCGCACATAGATCGGCACCAGCTGCAGCTGCGCCAGAGGCACCGCCTCCTCGCTCCCCCTTCTCGCCGCAACCACCTCCCCTCCCCTCTCCGCCCCTGCGCCTCCCTCCTTCCCCTCCACTTCCTCTGCCTTGCCCGCTGTGCCACCCTCGCCCTCCCCTGGCGTCACTTGGAAGAGACTGGGCTAGCGGGCGGGGCAAGGGAGGCGGGCAAGATGGAACACGGGGGGAAGGGAGGCGGGCAAGATGGAACACGGGGGGAAAAAAACAGGCAAGATGGAACACGGGGGGAAGGGAGGCGGGCAAGATAGAACACGGGGGGTAAGAGGACGGGACGAGGATGGAAATGGGGAGGAGGGGGTAGAAGACAGGGTGGGGGGAGGAGGAAGAGGGGAGGTTGGGAGGGAAGGAGACGCGTTGGTTAGTGGAAGTTTGGAAGAGGCAGCGTCATTTGGAACAGGTTGGTCTCAAGAGCGAGAAGAGTTGGTGGCAGGCTGCAACAAGGGGGAGGGGGGGGAGAAGGGGGAGAAAAGTGGGAGAAGGGGGAGAGAAGGATGAGAGAAGAGAGGGGGGGAGAAAAGCGCGGAAAGAAGGGAGAATGGGGAAAAGGGGAAACGTAGGAAGAGAGATGGGGGAGCAGAGGCAGAGAGAGAGGGGGGAGGGAAGGAAAAGAGAAGCGGAGAGGGGCGGGCAGGCGGGTCACACCGGCAGGCGTCAGCGAAGGCAGCGATGAGCCCGTCGCCGTTGGGGTGGGCGGTGATCTTGAACGCGGGGTTGACGCCCGTTGACAAGCTGAACACCTGCCACGCGTGGTGGTGCAGCGCGGTGCAGAGCGGCGCAATGATGTGGAAGGGGAGGGAAGGGGAACGATGAGTAGTGATATTGAGGCGCCTGGAGGAGTCCCAAACAGCCCAAAACTGCCTCGACCTTCCCAACTTTGGTTGGGAAAAAACTGTCAACTTTGCGAAAGGTGGGAACGATTTTCGCAACCCGAAATTACTGTACTGGCGACGACGACAGCCGTGAGGATTTCGCCTCTTTTTTTTTAGTCCGCTATACCGAAATTCTACGCGAAAGGGGTTCACGAGTTGCACTTGGGATCTGGTAACTCTCGCGACCACTACATCACTCAACGACCCTCAGCTTCCTATTTTGACACCTCCCTAATTCGCGAGCCAGTTGCCGCTCTTTCCCCAACCAACCTTCCTAACTTCGAGACCTGTGAGTCTCCGGTTTTAACACGTGGACAGGACGCAGTGGAGGCACGGCGAGCAATGACGGGAGTGCGGTGCGGATGGGGGAAATGATGGGGAGGGCGGGAGATGGGGGTGGGGGCTACGTATTTCGCTGGTGCAGCGGGGCGGAGATGTGACGCGGGGGGTTGAGCGCATGGGGCGGCGGGCTGGCGCACTCTGGCACCGAATGCGGCGGATCGGGGGAGGGGGAAGGGGGAATGCGCGACGGCGCTGGTGCGCATCGACGCTAGCGCGCAAACAAGCACACGACGCTAACGCGCGGTGCACGCGGAAACGGGCGGTCGATTGTAATGGATGTGTGAAGGGCGCGAATGGCGTCCGTGTCATGCAGTGCCACGTCACCTCCGAGAGCTCATCGGCCGCGAAGCTGTATTTGCACGCGATGATCTTGCTCTTGATGCCGTGCCGCCCCGCGCCGCCGCCCCCCGCCAGCACCACCAGCCCCTCCTCGCCCTGCGCGCCCGCCGTAGGACCCTTCGTGGGCGCCCATGCGCCGCAGAAGAGCGGAAAGCCGAACTGCTTCTTCACTCTGGAGTCGTCGGGCCGCGCCGGCGCCATGCTGGTTGGTTGCAATAAAATTTCGCTAAAATATATGCTTGTGGGAATTGGTGCTCAATTTTTTCACATGGGTCATTTGGGTGGGATTGTGGCATTCGAACTGGGCTGGACGTTGTGTGGTCACTCATACACCATATGGGACTCCTCAGGCTGAAACAAATCGGCTGCTAGAATCCCAGAATCACCTTCTTATACACGGCATTGGATTGAGAAGACGAAATTTGTTGATAATCTGCCAGAATTTTCTTATCGTGTTGAAACAAGACCTTTGTCACATCCTCTCTTCATGCACAAATGGAGTAGTCCCAGGGCCAAGCGTAACAACCTTAGAGCATCTCCAGGATGCCACTCGCCGCGACTCTAACGTCGCCAATCGAGGGCTGACGTTTCAAACATTCCCCTTGTATTACGGGTGCATGTTCTCTACAGGTTCATTACTCTGACTGCTCAGCTCAGTGTTGAACTCTGGTTGTTCAGGGTCGAGAATTGAAAATCAGAGTAGTAACGCGCTCTTTGTTTAATGGGGAAAAATGTCTCACTCCGTGTAATCACAACACAACACAACATCATTTCGGGCACACTTTGTGCGCTCTAATTTCGACCCCTTTATTTTTGCAATTTTGTATTTCTGCACACGTTTTGCGTGTTATGCGTGTTGAACTAAAAGAAGAGGAATGATCGACTAGGTCAAAGGGTGGTGTACAAGAGAGTATCGAGGGAATTGATGTACCCCCTTACATGCAAATCACTATAGGCCAGATAACTAAAGTGAATATAATTTTGACACACCCCTATAGCCTAAGTGAGGTGCATGAAAAACGACTAAAACAAGCTAATGGTCACAAGATCAGCTAAGAGAGGCAAACAAAGCAAAGTCCATAGTGGATCTCAAGATCACCACGCAGTCTGAGCACGAGCAAGCGACCACAAGGCCAGTTCACATGCAGAGTTATAAAAGCACGAACAGTATAGTGATCTCAACCTAGCAAGACCAGGCATGCAGTTATATATATAGAGATCACAATACAAGGCAAAGTCAAGCAATCAGTAGGTGAGGCAGAGTGGGCAGAAGCCCAATAGCAGTGCAGAACTGGAGGAGAACGAGGCTGCTCCCCCAAGGCGGTCAGTAGGTAGGTCAGCCAGCGTACCGTATGGCCCCGGATAGAAGCGCATGCCTATGTTAAGCGCATGCGCTTGTATCTGGAGCAATGCGCTTATGGCCGATCCTCAATTATAAGCGCACCCCTTGGGAAATCATGACTTATTATAAGCGCACCCTTTTAGTTAAAAAAAAGAATATCATTTTTTTAAACCCTACCTAGCCTACATGTTCTAAACTTTCCATTAACTTAGACAATCACATACAATGGTGGTCTCTGCTGTCCTCCACTACACACCTTTCAACCTGCCTAGTCTACCCTACTGCCTATTCTTCCTCCTCGTCCGACTCGGGCTCCGTGGAGTTGTTGCCCCAAAACCCATCTGCCTGGATGTCGTCATCCACCTCCACCTCATGGGACAACTGGCTTCTCCGGTGCGCCAGCACCAGTTGGTCTTCGCTCCCATCAAGGGCGTTGCTGATGCCGCACGTGAGGAAGGTTCTCTTGATGAGGTCGGCGGGCACCGCCTTCCACGCCCGTGAAATCCACTTGTGCACCACCTCCGGAGGTGGTTTCTTGATGTTCCCTGCATCACACGGAGTGGGGCGGGGAAAACATGAGACAACTAAACAGGCATACAAGCTCAAGATTTGCAGACGGGAGCACATGTCGTCTCTCACCTGCCGGGGTCAGGATGTTCATGCCGTCCGCCTCAAACCAAGTTTGGTACTGCTAACGAATGCTTGCTTTGAAGCCTTTGTTGATCGATACGTCGAGGGGCTGCAGGTCTGCCGTGCAACCCGCCGGAATGATAGCAGGCACGATGTTGAGCGCCGCGAATCTCTCATTGACTTCTGGTGTCAGGTGACCGCGATACGAGTCGAGCACCAGCATGGCGCTACGACTCTGCAGGCCGAATTTCGGCTTCAGGAACGGCACCACGCCCGTGTTGAGCCACTCGATGACGCCAGCCGCCTCCATCCACCCGTTTGCTTGGCAGCCGACCACAACATCTGCACGCAAGGAAAAAGAACGGTTGACGACTCTGGTAGTAACGGGAATAAACACGCGCGACGATAACATACCGTTCGGGAAGTCACCCTTGGGGAGTGTCTTGCGCTTGAAAAACACCCACGGCTTCAGCTTCTCACCCATCGCCGTGCACGCAAGCATGACGGTCACTCTCTCCTTCTGGTACCCACCGCTGCGGATGGGCACCGACCTCACGCCCGTCTGCTCCACGGTGGTCGTCGCCGACATCTCCAACCACAGCGGTGTCTGGTCGGCGTTGATGATGTAGCGGTTGTCAATGTCGTATTCGTTCCTGGCGTCACGTACGTACTGCCAAAAATCCTTGCACTGCGGAGCCACGTTTGCGGAACAGGGAGATAAATACTTTTAGTAAACCAAATTAGTATCACGCATAGGAGACATGCGAAAAAGAACCTAAGCATAATCGGGATAAATCAAAATCAGCAGGAAACGACCCACTTACGCTCCTGTGTTTTCTGCGCCACCTTTGTTTTCATGCGCACGCTGAGGTTCCACCGCTTGCGGAACCGCTCCGTCCACCGCTGACTGCCTTTCCACTTGACGTCCGGGTAGAGAACCTTCATCACTTCTTTGGACCACTCTTGCAGCCGGCCGACCGAAACCGCAACTCCGCGGCGTCGCCAGTCGAGGAGTTGCGCGTACACCTTTAACTCCATGGGGCGGTACCAAGACGACCTCCCGCGCCCGTGAAGTCGCATCCGTGCTCCGTGTGCAGACTTGAGCGCCTCCGCTTGGGCTTTCCATACTGTCAAACATTTTCGGTGTATGCCTGACTCCCGCGCCACTTCGCTCACCGAAGCCGCAAGCTCGAGCCGCACGAGCCACCTCAACTTCTCCTGGGCGGTGTAGTACTGCCGCTTATGTTGATTCTGCTTGTGCCTAGGGGAGGGGGGGCGGGCATCTCGATTGTCGGTAGACGGGTGGGGGCGTTTTTTGTTAAGGGGCGGATACGTCGGTATCGGCATCTTCGCGCGTGGTGCGTCGCGCCACCAGGACTCCACACCGTCCTCGTCCTCGGCAGTTGCGTCACGGTCGGGGAACACGTCTTCCTCATCGCCCGCTGCACCGTCGCCACCAGCTTCACCATCGCCTCCAGCTTCGCCGGCGCCGCTGTCATGTTTGTCGGCAGCCACATCATCGTCGGCGCCCACAGCCCGATTCATCCCACGCGCAGGCTTCTGGTTGTCCCCACCGTGGTGCAGTCGCTGGAGCTTGGATGCGTGCATCGGGGGCCTTGGGTGTGTCCGCTTCAGCCAACCATTCGTCGAACGTGGCTGGTAAATACAGTTGGAGCACGGGCCGTTGGTGAGCACCTGCCGTAGCAAAAGCAGGCGGATTCGGAGGAGCGGGAGGTGCGGGAGGAGCGGGTGGAGCAGGGGGTGCAGGGGGAGCAGGAGGAGCAGGGGGATCCGGTGGCACTGGAGGCGCTGGTGGCTCACGGGTATACCACCCGTCCTCGGTAAGTCGCCATGAGCGGCGTGGTTTCTTCTTGAAGAGGATGTGAGTCCCACTAAATTCCGCCATGGCTTCGCCTGCCAGGCAGGCTAGACAGGAAACTGAATGAAAAAATTAGAGACGAGGGTGAAGAAATGGGCAACGACGGGGACCCCTGCTGCGTTGCGGCTCGGGTTCCTCGTCGATGACAGGCAGGAAACCCCCGCCTACTCCCGTAGAGGCGCCTGCGTGGCAGCATCTACGCTGCGCTAGGCAGGGAATCTAGCCGAACCTTCGAGATGGTTCTGCACGAATGAACATGCCACGCAGCGCATGCGGCACTGATTGGGCCGCACGACAACATCTTCGTCACGGCTGTCACATTCGATGTTTCCAGACAACATTGTGCGGTGGGAAACCGAACCGCTGCGGTTTCTGCCTAAAAACCATGCACGATCCCACTCGGTGCATGGTCGGTTGAATTCGCCTTATTGAGAGCTTCACAATTGTGTGTTCAAAATTGATTTTCATTTTATCCTTTATATAAGTGCATGCGCTTATAAATCTGACTCAATTATAAGCGCACCCCCCCAAAAAACAATGTTTTATTATAAGCGCAGATGCGCTTCTATCCGGGGTATTACGGTAGCTCCTGTGCAGCCATAGCCCCAGCGTAGATCTCGGCCTCACAGCTAGAACCAAGCACAGAAGAAGAACGAGTGGACCTTCACGAGACAAAACCAGAGCCAAGACTAGAGGTGTAAACATGTGACGAACGCTGAGTCGCCTGGTCGTCGGCCCAAGAAGCTGACAAAATTAGAAGAAAGAAAGAGAGTTGAACTAGCAGGAATGAGGATACAAATAACAAACCCTAGAAGGGTTGTACTCGCTATAGAGCACCCCACTACAGGCTAGAACATAAGATTAACATTCTGACACACCCCCATAGCCAAAGTGGGGTGTAATCAGCAGAGCAAGCAAAGCAGTACAAGCTCAGGGTGGATCACAATGTCACCACACATTCTGAGCACAAGTTCAAGAAGCAATAGTTTAAAGTTAAGAATTATGAGCAAAGCTAGAGGCTATCGCAGAGGGCAAGTGAGGAGGAGGAGGTGAGAGTGAGAGGAAAGGAGATAGGAGGCGACGGATGAAGCTGCAGACACACGGGCAACAGGAGGCAGACTGGCACAGCGGCTACCGGACGAAGCCCCCGGACTACAGGGGTAACTGGCCCCGCGGCTAAAGTAGCGGCAGACGAGCAACGGACCCACGGGCGGCTGGCACAGCTGGCTACGACTGAGCTACCGGACGAAGCCCCCGGACTACAGGTGCTGCTAGCGACACATCGGCAACCTCCGTGCAACTTCCCCAAACAGTCCCACTCCCCCCCGACACACACCCGCTGCTACACCC